CGTCAGCTTAGGAAACCTGATGTCCGGAAATGGAGCGCTAACGCTTCTATACGAACTGATCTGAAGTCGACTTGACTTGGGAATGCGAGTGAGGAAAGAGCATAGAAATGAAGTATCGGGGAAACCGCATCGTAGCTTTGTTGAGCGAGTGGTTGGAAAGGGGAGAACTTCTATTAACCTGTGATCCAAGGGATCGACTGCTACTTCTCACAAAGCTGGTGCGATTTCGAACCCCTTAAGATTGGGCACATCTTGTGGTTTGAACAATGAATGTTAATCGCTTGAGGAGAGGAATACGTCCTCTTATGGAGGATAGGGAAGTATAGAGCGAGGGAGCCATGGAAAAAAACCGCTTCCTCCCAATGTTCGGAATGCTCTGCCAAGAGGGCCAAAAGACGATCATCGAACACGTCCAAAGCGTATACGCGGACTGAGAGGGGCCAGGATTCGGAACGCTGAAGGTGTATCTGTAATTTCTTTATTGATGGTTCTGGAAGGAGGATCGTTCTCCATAAGGATTGATTTTCGATGACTATGGCTCTCCAGTGAGAGCAAACTGACGAGAGGATGAAGGCAGGTGGTGAATATCAGCAAGATGAAAAATTTCAGACAGTAGCTCTGGAGGCAGTTTTTGCACGGGCGTCATGATAATGAAGGGCTGAGTACGTTGAGTTTGTAAGCGCCGGTACTGCTTCGTGAACAATATCGTATACGTTGCAAGAGCCCAATAAAAAATAACGACAAAACAGAAAAGATACACAGTAGCGTAGCAGACAGACAGAGAATAACTAGCCTAAGATAGTTGGTTGGATAGCAAGGGTTAGAAGAGATAGCAACATAATTAGATCGTGAGCAAAGTACGTATGTGTACATGTTATATTACATGCACAACACCGGGGAAGAAGAGGGGAAAAGAAAAGGGACAGACATAATCGATACACTAGGTTACAACAACAGCAGCAGTTTGAAACGTAAATCGTTGGCCGTTCATGGAATGCCGGCGTGAAGACCGTTCAGAAACATTTATCCGCGCATCCCCAGCTCGTCGGGGACTCCTACGAATCTCCCTCTTTCTTCTTACCTTCATCGCTGAAAGATCCCGACTTCTGCAAGACCGGACTCGAACTCGGATTCGTAGCCGTAACCGGTATCCTCACACGTATAACACTCGAGCTATTCTCAGATTCGTTATAATCAAATTGGAACCTATGACATTTGGGAGTAGAGGTTAAACAACAGCAACAGAAACGACGACACATATGGAGGAAGGGAAGGAAGCGACGATGGAAGGAAGAAATAAACAACCAAAACTCACTTGTTCAAAACTCTCAACACCTCCGTCTTGACAGTCCGAAACTTGATGCTCTGAGGAGTGACCACCTCGAGATGAGTGAATTGTGGTACAGACGGCGCAGACGGCAAAGAAGGAGACTTCTTTTCCTCTATCTCCTCCTCCTTCATCAACTTCTCCAGACTATCCGAATTGAGCTCGTAAGCTGAGCCTTTATTAAGAACCTCCCCCGACTCTTCCTTTCCGTCCCTCGTCCTCTCACCACCCATCAACTTTTGAATCCTTTCCCTCATCTTCTCCGCCGCAGCTTCAGGAGAGAGATCATTAAGATTGATAGTATTAGGATTACCCTCTTGATCGGGATTATGAGCTGTTTCCAAATCATTAAACAAAAACAAAAAAAAAACAAAAACAAAAAGTATACTCACCAGCAAACGCAACTCTCTCCCTTTTCCTCTCCAACTTTTCAATCTTCCTCTTCACATCCTCAACCTCCGCAGCCTTCTGCAACTTGAGCACAACCTCACTCCCCAATTTCCCAGCCCCACCCCAAGTCTTGAAAGCGCTCTTTTCCTCACCCTCGAGGACGGAAAGGGTCTTTTTGAGCTCGGAAATTTGCGTACGGATTCGAGCGAGGTGCGCTAGGCGTCTGTCGGTGGGTGAAAATGCAGGTGTTGTTGCGGAAGTAGGAGCATCATTGGCGGGGATGGCCTCTGCTTCGCCGTCATCGGAGTCCTCGTCAGGGTCGGACGGTTGGGAGGAGTAGGAAGAGATCGGGCGATCGGGATCGGGAGCTGGGTCGGTAGTGGCTGGAGCGGTAGAGAGAAGTTCAGGCGGGAATGGGTCCGACAGAGGAGCTGGTTCTCCGTTAGTGTCGAGGGTAAAGAGCAAGGGAGGTGACGGTGGTAATGGAGCTTCAACAGCAATCGCAAACGGTGCATTGGCCGCATCGGGAGCTACCGATTCCGGTTCCGGTTCGGGTCCCAAACCGTTCCCGGGAATCTCAGGTTGCGTAGCAGGAGGAGCGGGAGCGAGAGGAGTTGGTACTAGTGCAGGGGAGGGGGAGGAGGAAGAAAGAAGCTGAGAAGCAGACGCAGCCCAAGGGAAGATAGCTGGCATAGTCGGAATAGGCATAGCTATCTGAGGCGACGCTTGAGAAGATTCGGAGGGGATGGTAGGGATGGTAGGGATGGTAGGAATAGGTGGAATAGAAGGCTCCGGGAACTGGTACGGGGAAGTCGCACCCGCACCTGTAACAGGTAAAGTAGACGTAGAATCCGTATTCGAATTCGATTTCGAATCCGGTAACAAACCAGGGTCCTTATCATTCTCATCTTCACCTTCACCTCGAACGGGCTCATACAAATCATCACCATCATCCTCATCCGACGCATAATCCTCATTAACCCCCTTCTCATCACCGACATTCGCCTGCGGATACCCACCCTTGGTATCCCCCAAATCCGGCGTCGACTCGGACGGAATCTCGACCGGCGATCCATCGGGGTATATCTGCGAAAACGTAGGCGGCGGAGACCTGTCCGCATCTTCATCCTCATCCTCATCCCCACCCCATCCTCGTCCTCGTCCTCGCCGCTGTCGCACTCGTTCCTGTTGTTCCTGCTGCCTCATCGCCTCCTTCCACGTCGTAGCCGCATCCGCCGTCGCCCTCTCCCTCTCCAAATCAACTCCCATATCGACCACTCGCCTTCCCGTCAACGAGTTATTGGACAAAGTGCGCGTATGAGGATGGGATAACTCAATATCCAGAGACGATTGACTTTTGTTTGGATCGCGACCGTATCTCGAACTCGAGGCGGAGGGGTGGACGAACGCATCGGCGATGGCAGTCACCGGTAAGACGGCGGAACCGACGGATTTAGCGTTCCCTTTAGCCTTCTTCGCTTTCTTCCTTCCGATATGAAGAATGTTATCCAACCAGTTAGAGTCGGATGGGAATTTCTCGGGTTTTACTAGCTTATTCGGTTTATTGTGGGAAGTCGAAGCTGGGATGAAGCTGGGAAAATCTTTGAGCGGGAGAGGGGGCGGGGAAGTGGTGTGCACGAGTTCGGGAAAAGGCTCAGGCTCGGGCTTCAGCCACAAGTTATCAGTCTGTAATGGAGAGTGCATGATCTGGCTTGTCAAGATTTGGATATTTTCTGGTGCCCTGCCGGGTTCCTGGGGGTACCCAGCAAACGCCCCGTATGATGTCCCCGCCGACCCAAACTCGGGCTCCCATCCTCCGGGCTCTCCATCATCCTCCACCTCCTTTGCCTTCCCCTTCCCTTTCACATCAATCTTGGGTTCGACCACTCTTCTGATTGTAGCGGTAGGAGTGGGAAGATCATCCTCGTCCTCGTCTCCATTTTCGTCCTCATCCCCCTTCTCAACCTTTTCCCAACCTTCCTCGCCCTCTCCCTCCTCCTCATCACCATCCATATCCACATCAGGAATATCAGGGACCTGATCTGGAGGAGGTAAAGGTGTCTTCGGGGCAAGGTCATCCAACTCGGGTGTAACTAACCTCGGATGGAAGGTGAGCGGTGACGGTTTTGACCTCTTCTTCGCTTCAGCAGCAGCAGCTTCCGCTGCCACTTCTGCAGAGATATCGCGTAACGTCTGGGCATCAGGTGTAGGAGTTTCCGTAGTCGTTGATGAGCCATCGTCGGAATCTGACTCTGAGAACAGGGGATCAGATTCTTCTGTAGGGAAGGGAGAGGACTGTGTGTCGAGGGTGCGGGGATGACCTTCGTCGGTTGGGAGGTCCGAAATTGAGGTAGAATGGGAAGGAGATTCAGTGTGAGCCACTGCGGAAGGTGTTTGTTGAGAATCGACATCTGATTCTATACGAGCGGAAAGTTCGGATACCGGTTGCGCTGTAGCTACAGGAAGTGCCGGGGCAGTTGAAGCTGAAGACGAGGAAGCTGTGGACACGGAGGAGCCTAGAACCGGAGGTGCAGAAGGGGGGGTAACGAATCTTGTAACGAATCTTGCAACGGGCCTCGTTTCCGTGGGCGACAAAGCGGAAGAAGTCGTAGAAGAGTTCGAAAAACGGACAATGCGCCGCCTAGACACTGGTATCCCAGATAACCGCACTCTGGGAATTCTCCTCCCCACAAGCTTCACATCTCTCCGGAATCGACTCCATATCCTCCTTCCACCCAAATCATCCCATAAACTCGGGGTAATATCAGCCAGAACAACGCCCATTCCAGTCCAGAGTAAGACAAGGACTTGACGGAGGACATTTTGAGTTACTAAAAAGTCAATAAAGAGGCGTACGCCGTAAGCTACGTATGGGTCGAAGCTTTTTGGCCATTTTTGAGTGAAGTGTAAAAGGACGATGCCTTCCCATAGGCCGACGAGTGTTCCGGTGAGTTTGAGGGAGGAATTGGGGACGGTAGAGATGATGTATCGTATGGAAAGACCATAGCCTATTGCGAATAGCTGTTCCATAGTTCAGAGCATTGAGCTCTAAGAAAAATTGTTCAGAGTTAATAATAAATAAAATTGAGAATGTATACTTACCCTCAATTGAGGGATGAGGTATTGGGTATCGCACAACAGCAGACGCATTGCTTCCCGCTCAGGTTATAGTCTTTCGGTTAATTCGGTCCGATATATTCCGATGCCTCTAGCCGAAATTGTTTCCTTGAACAAAGCAAGTCTAGGGAGCAGATATGTTCTCTAATTCCCGGACTTTCTCTATGGGCATGTAGCGTAGGGGTTATCGCGTTCGCTTTGCATAATTTGAAAATCTTGCTATGCGAAAGGTCTCCGGTTCAAATCCGGACTTGTCCACTGAAAGAGAGATCTCAGTTTAGTTTTTTTTTTTTTTCATCGCAAAATCAAGACGATTATGGAACCCAAGGTATCCCTTCCATACAAATATCCAAGCAAATTTCTCGCAACAATAAATTGAGAGTAGTACCTTGAAATAACTCCGTCCAAATAAGTACGTAGTTACATTCTTATTCAATTAATCAAAGCCAAAGTCCATTTACAAACCTCTACCTACTTTGCCTTCTCAACTACAAGCGGCAACTGAGGATGTCCGTTCCCTCCTACAACAATAGGACTCGATATTCCAGACATTTGCCAAAAGATTTCCTTGTTCGGCGGTAGCGAAAATTTGAAGTTCTCCACGAGCATAGCAATGACGACCTCTGAGGAACAATGAGTTCAGTTATAATTAAAAGTCGAACGCCAGAGCTATAAACGTACTCATTTCAAGTTGAGAAAATTTGAATCCACTGAGATCACAGAGTTCAAGTCAGCTAAAATCGAAAGAGTCGAATACTGCTTAAAAACGTACATGCACGAACGACTTCCGCCACTGAACGTCATACTGCCGAAAGCATAATCACCATAAGCATCAACAGGAAAAAAATCTTGGTTTTACTTACAGATGAGAATAAACCCCCGGAATCTTCGACTCAGTTATCGACTCTGGAAGAGGTTCAAGCCATCGCTCAGGTTTCCACTCCAGTGCATCTGGACCCCATAGCTCCTCGGACCGATTCGCGTTTAGTATCTGTCGCGGCAAATCAGATACTAGAACGCGAAAAGCAAGACGAAACCCACTCACGGATAGCACTATGGAAGTATTCTTGGGTAAGAAAAGTTGTGTGATTTCTCTCCCATCAACTCCTTGTACCGGCTTCGACAGAGGCAAAATCATATCTTCTACAGATCTTAAAATACCAAAAGTGATCATAAGCATCTGCGTGTCCGAAGAAAAGCAGATATATGACATACTTGCGAAACATCGAAGACACTGGGGGATATCTATCCTCGAGAAAACCGATTCAGTTGAGTTTTAGGGGACACTAATAAAAGCATATAACGCACAAACGTAAAGTCTCCCTGCATACCGCGTCCAAATACGGCAGGGAAACCAATTCATCATAGGTCAATTTTCTGCCTTGACGTTCTTTTCGTGCATCAACGATTTCTTTTCGCATCTCGTCTTGAACGTTCGGATGAAGGGCCAGGAGATTGAGAATGCGAGACATTCCGTTCTTTTCAACAGAGATCAGAACCCACTGAAGTAACCATTGCAAGAAATGCTCACGGAGGTAGTATCCATGGCTGCAAATACGAATGTCCTTGAGAAAATAGAACTGAGTAAAAACCATGAGAGTTATCGTGGGAGACTCACGACGTCTACGAATCAAGAAATGAGTACTTGTAAATAGTTACAAATGCAAGGAACGAAGTTGAACGAACGAACCTGAGCTATAATCTCAGCCTCTTCCAATCGATCTTCACTATCAGCTTTCATGTTTTCTCTCACTAGGGTATGGATGGGAGCATTCAGAAAAACTCTGTACTAAGATGCCGAGCTTACTTACTCATGATGCTAAGCAAATCCTTCCCCTGCCCAATCTGTCTTGAAACAGCTTCATCCCCCTCCTCAAGAGCGCGTTTCTTGTCTTGATAAATCTGCACAGACAAACCATGCATGTAATTGATTATGTCTCGAACTTCATGCAGCGTCCTCCAGGGTGTAATATTCATGATAAATACACGAACACTTTTTGGCAAGAGTTTGAGGGCCCACGGAAGGATGGCGATTCGCGCAAAGCTCAGTTTATTGAATAATGGGCTATAATAGGTTTTTGAGCAATTGAGGACCGGAAAAAGACCGCGAAACTTACACCAGATCTTTGATAACGATACTATATTTGTGCTTCGGCACGTCATCCTCCATGTTGTCGAAAGAGTATCCGAAGCCGGATTGACCGATGAGTTCAAGCGCAGTGCGCGCCATCCATCCGAGAAGGTCGATCTGCGGAACAGTCAAAGGTGCATTTCAGATGAGAATGGGCTATTGCTGAGCTCACCTCTTTCGGGCCTTTGTCTACTCTGTGAGATAAAGCGTGCTCCAACTATGAAGAAAGGGTCAAAGAGCACTCTCGGATGTCTCAACATTCCAACATACCTTGTCGACCACATCATAGAATATAGGCACTATCACAACAGATGATCTGCGCGCTCTTCGGAAGGATTTTCAACTACTCACACATCGAGCGCATGTGTACGATAGAAAAAACCGGGTTGAGCATCTTACGTTGTTTACGATGATGATCACCGACGGTGTTCAGTAGGCCTTTGCCTAAGAAAAGCCCGCCAGAACTAGCAGAATTCTTCAATGACCACAAATTTTGAAAACAGAAGCACGTACTCGATGCGAGGGGGCTGATAGAAAGGCCCGTCCTGAGAAGTAGTCATGAGTTTTTGATCAAACGCTTGAGATCGAAGTGTCTAACTTTGACCAGAATATGATGCATAGCTTTGGGATCGAATGTGTAAAGTTGATTTTTCTGTGCAGAAAGTTGTCATCAGAGAGAACTTCTTCACAAGGACCATTTTATTCACCCCAAGGATACCCTTGACTCGGACAGTGGGTCCATCTAAGAGGCCGTTATCATGCTGGAATGCGTAACGAGAACCAAAAAGGCGCCTACACTTTTCAGCTAGCATTTTATGAAACTCCCACCCGTTTTTGAGGTTGAAAAGTTGCGAATGATTACCTGGAAAATCGGATAGAGTAAAGCCTTGTCCAACACTAAATAAATCTATGGGAAGACGAAGTAACCTACCTTTCAACCACGATTTTGAGGACGGTCCTGGAAGTTCACTTAAAGACGAAGCATTCTTGCTTTTCTTTGAACGATGAAACACGCTCCAAAGGCTTGCCGAGAGAACAGCGATGACGATACCACGCAAAAGGCTGGTATAGTTGAAATTGAGATCGAAAGCGTTGTTTCGAGTTTGCAGATGAGAGAAGAAGGCCGACATGTTTCTAAGATTATACAACCCCAGCTGCACAGTACTTTATACAGATACTGGGCAGTCCCTCGTGACATGTTTGAGAAACGATCCAGACACAGGAGGTATCAGTTATCACCACACGGATACTCTCGGGAAAATAGCAGTGAGGGAATGACACTAGTGAGTCTGACTCAGTGAATGTTGATTCGGATGTTCACCGAATTTGGCTTGAAAACTGCCGACAGGTGCATATACTTGCGCAGTTATCAACGAACGGGACGATGAGCTGAACAGGATTGGAGGTCATCGGAATCTTTCCGAAAATTCAAAAATCCACGGTTTGCACGTGGTGGCTTTCAAGTGATGTAATCTCACTCATCTGTCGCGAGCATATGACTTCACCGTGACCACTGGCCTCGACTTGACCATTCAGGGCATTGGGCAAACCACATCTCACACTTTCCTCTTTTTGTGTCGATAGTCTCATTGTCTTTCCTCAGGAGTTGGACTCCTCGTCTTGCCATGGTCAAAGCTGATCATCTCACTGTTTTGCCCAGATTTCACGTCAAATTCTTTGACATCATCTTTCCTCTCTCTCTCTGCATACTGAAGCACATCAGGACAAGTCTAGTCTGTTAGTTTGTATAATATCTACTAAAAAGGACTTGTTGCAACGTCCTCTTAGGCAGTGAGAGCTGGGCAGACGATAGTATCTATTTCGGGGTAACATCTGTTAAGTGTTGTGAGTGCACAAGTAACTAAATTAGAAGGCGTAAGACGATCTTACGTTCCACCAACTCCCTCGATGATCGGTCCACAGCAGAAATATCCCGTAGGGCCTTTTGAACAATTTGTGGTAAGTACTTCTAGTTTGAGGTGATCATTAAAGAACAACTTACATCGTAGAACCTGAATAAGTATTGCAAAAAAAAAAAAAAAAAAACACAGTGGAATCGGCATCGTAAATATAAGCTCAGATGGAAAAGCAACTCTACCGCTGTTGAGGTTGGTGTTGGGATGCCACCTGTGCAAAAGCGTCAACCGAGGATGTGTGATGGCCTGGATTGCTACTTACAATGGTATACCGTAGCTGGGCTTGCAGAGACGGACACACCAAGGGCGCCGATGAGAGCGACAACAAGTAATGCTTTGATACCTGACATGGTAAGCGAAAGGTGGGTGACTACAATGAATTTGACGAGCGTTGTTCTCCGGCAAGTCTTTTATAGCTCTCAGGCTATACAAGGTTAGATGCCTCATGCCAAATAATTTCACAAGTGGCGTATTGACATACCCGTCATAGTTTCGCGGACCTAGAATCAATACTGTATTGCTCAAAGTACTAAGTAATAGAAGTCACCGAAATACCTAACCCCGTTCCAGCGTATAAAAATTTGATACTCTTCGTGTCAACTGTCTAGTCCAACTCCCGGCACTGGAATCAAAGCATTCGAACGGTTTGAGATATCGCATGACTCGCCTTGAAGCCAAAGTATATTTTTGGAGCTGGGGTCAAACAGAGTCTATGTTGAGGGTCGGCTAATAATTTGCTAGAGTCGTGACAGATTAAATGCTTTTCAAAAGAATTGTACCTGGAAGTCCTTTTAGAATGACTGTCTGTGAACGCCCAAAATTTTCCAAAGTGGAAGAAACTTGTTCCGACGAAAACCTTGTAGATCATGTATTTCTTGCATCCAACACGTTAATCAAAACTCTAAATTCACGAAATGGAACAGTGCTGGCCATTTTACTGTGAAATTAGATTCAGATGACAGGAACCGGTTGAAAGTTGCAATATCCATGACATTTCACCACTGTTAGATTGGGCAACTCCGCCGTCCGGTTTTTCCAAGGTAACACCTGAGTGTACGCGAATTGCTTTAGTGTTAGCCTTGAAACTCCACCGCGATATTTCAAGCCTATAAATCTCACATTTCACCATGACCCACCATGAGAGGTGCAACTACTACTTTCTCTGTCTTTTCGCTGATATTCTAGTTATAGTCCCTCGGACTTTCTCAATA